AGCGTGGGCACTTTACCCATTAATGGTGCTTGAACAGCGTTTAGCCCAAATCGCCGAAATAGTTAAATCTGCAGGATGCAGTTTGCAGTTTCTCCTCCTTTAAAATGCTCCCACATTTCTTTCGAAGGGTTATTAGTGTTTATTTTATTAAGGCAAGGTAGGGAAGGACTTACACACGGAGTAAGAAACTGTGAGTAGCCACAGCAGGTTCTGTGTGTGAGCTTACACGCAGCTTGTGTGCTCTCACAAAGCATCTCAGCGCCCAAATAACCAGCAAAGTTCTTCTCCTGCAAATATTTGGGCACACATTTACTGCAAAACATCCATCGTTCCGGGGCTGCAATTAAAAAATAAAAAAAAATCACCTTTAAGAAGATCCTAGAAAGCTCTGGATTCCCACTTTCTCTGCTCCTCTGCTATGAGTCTTTCCCCTTCCGTCCTATTCCATTATGTGGCTCTAACGCAGGGCTGAGGCATCAGCTCACCTTCCTCCTGTGTGTCCGTGCAGCCAAAAATCTGCAGCAGGAAAAGATTTCAGGAAGGCTTTCCAAAGCAGGAGGGTGAAAAAAAAAAAAAACCAAAACACCAAAAACCAGCGTAAGGGCTGCAAAAGCTCCATGCCTGCTAGGAAATAAAGGGCAAGGCTTGGGGAGATATTAATAGAAAAATGAGAATTATTTTTTTTTTGAGAGTAATGTTGAGCACGTTCACTTCGTGCCTGGAGCTGAGGACATGACAATTAGTACATCTGACGTTTACAATGCAGATGTTTATGATGTGAATAATAGATGGAAAGAGAGGGAAAACATTGTTGTTTTGGGGAAAATATGGAACAGTTTGATCTGGAAAACACCCGAACTTTGCTCAAGCCACCAGGCAAGTATGAAGCGGACTGCTCTTCATGCCCAATTTAAATCCTGCAGCACAGAAAGTCTGAAAAATCATAAATTACAGACAAAAATATGGTTACTGTAATAACAGGGTGTTGCAAGAATTGTAAAATAAATTTGGGGGTGGGAGGGTGCAGCCTTTAGGGGAAAACAACGTGAATTTCCAGCAGGAGGGTTGTGCAATGATTCTATATTTTTAAAACCTATCTGTGCTCCATTCATACTATTTAAGTGCTTCAATCAGCACAATAAATGTAAATAATTTACTGCTTCGCAAACAGAAAATTGGGCAGAAAAGTGATTTTTGAGGAGCGACTTGGCTCCCTCTGCCCAGTGATTTGGTGCCCTGTAAAATGCATCTGACACTGCTGTTCATTAAGCTGGTGCTATTGAGCCTTCTTCACATTCATTAGTGATTAATTCAGACAGATATTTAACTTAATAAGGTAAGCAAATAAACAAAAAAATCACTTTCTGTGCCTTAAGGTTTTTTGGCCCTCTAATTGGTTTTGTGCACTAATTATCAAGATTAACACCTTACGCTTTTCTCGGTCCTTACACTTAGAAATTCCCGGTGGGAAAATGTAGCCAACCTTAAGGGAATCCCTGAAGTGCAAGGGGTTAAGAGTTTGTCTTTTAAAAGCAAGATAAGCAGGAAAAAAAAAAAATCTAGGAGAGCCCGATTCCAGGTGAATTTTAGATAATAACAGGATGAGGAGGCAGGAGCTTGCGTGGATACACACACAGTGACACTCGTGGCTTTTCATGGGTGTGAGGGAAAGGTTTGCAAGGGGATAATTTGTGTCTCAGCATCTTCGAACAAATAACTGGGACCTCCCAGCCTTCTCACCCTGATTCCAAACCCCATATCCAGTCTGGTTCGGTGTTGGTGGCACATCCCTCCTTCTCACCAAGAGTTAACCACCGGCCTCCAGAAGTTCCTTTCAACTCCACTTCCCACAGAACCCGAGGACTTGATGTCAGTGCCAAGGCATTGTGATTTCCTTCGCTGTTCACGGCAGTGACATTGTTCCAGGCGTTGCCTGAAATTCCCCCACAGCCAAGCCTGACCGTGTCCTCCTCTTACCTTAGTCTCGGCTCAAGGAAACCCTTCTCTTTCCAGGCAGATGTGGGAGAAGCATCTGGGTGGGAGCAGCACCCTCCACCCAGCCTGACTCCACATCCCTGGGAGCTGGAGCATCCTTCCAGCACCCAGCTCTTCCTGCCACATGCAAATGTCAAAGTTTGTCTCTCTCATGTCTTGACATCCCCTCAGAAAATGCTTAAAAAGTGCTGATTCAGTGTCTCTCCTGCAAATGTCTCCTTGCCTGCTCCTACGAGCCGAGCTGAAACCTCCCTTGGATTTCACCTCAGGAAAGCTTTGGGAAGGGCCACGATGTGAAGTTCTCCTCGATCTCAGGCATGAGGGTCATTAAAACTCATTTTAGCCAAGGTGCTGGTACAAGTTGTTGCTCGTGACAGTTTGTCACCACCATGTACAATATTTGCTAGGCAGGATCCCAAAATATCCAGCTAATTGCCACTTTTCCTGCCGTGGGAAGTCTCACAGATTTACCCAGCTCCTGCCTTGAACCCGATTGCACTTTCCAGTAGTGGTTTTTTTTGGGGGGGGGGAGGTTTGTAGCATTTGGGGATTTTTAAACTCCTTTTCCTTTAATTCTTTTCTTTCTTTAATGGGTGACTGGATAAATTCAGTGGTGGATTTTTGTGACACTAAAGCAGCAGATAAGTCTATGATGCACTCTAGCTATGTGGTTTAAAAATCCCTTACCATATGTTTTCTCACTGGAATGCCTCATCTTGCAAAATTACAGGAACCGAAGCTTAAAAACACAATTAGGTAGTTTAAAATGAAATATTAAAGAAATACCACATATTTTCTGATATGCCTGCGATGGTTTTCCTTGATTTTTTTTCCTTTTTTTTTTTTTTTTTTTGCTTTCTTTTGTATTGTTCTTTGAGTTGTTCAAGGAGCCCAACTGTATTCGATTGTTGTACTAATCATGCTCCACATTTTTCTGATTAGGTTATATAGGCTGTGGTTAAATTATAAATGAAAGAATGAACTACCAGAGTACTTGTCATAACAGTATCTTTTATGTTGTTACAGAAGATTGGGGGGGAGGAGGAGGAATCAAAAAGGGCTTTCTACGATGAAGATTCTCCTCTCCTATTTTGTGCTCCTTATAGGATCTGTATAAGACAAGGAATGCAATTTGTTGGAATGTTTTTCTCAGGTATTCTGAGAACTACAGCACAATATCTGTCCACTGAGAAAAATGTGAGAAAAAGGAATCCATAATACATAAAGATGCATATTGTAGCACAAACTGTGGCATGCACACAAACACACCCTCTCCAACTCCACTTTATTCCATTACTCTGCTCTAAAAGCCACTTGAACTGTTTTTTTTTTTTTTCTTATGCCATACAGGAAAATATTTCCACATTTGAAATGATGCCTTACATTGTTATCTCCTGTCCCACTGTATGTGCAGCACAAACCCAGCTGAATGTGGGTCCGATGATATATTTTTGTTTAGAGGACACATTTTTGTTTCCATGCTGTTATTCTAAGCCATTTGCTGTAAAACTGATTTTAGAGAGAGCTGGAATTGTAATGATTAAACTACTTGACTGAAGGCTCACCTTGAAGACACTGGTGGTTTAAAAATATATTTGATACTCCTAAAATTAAATATATTGTTTAAACATTGTAGCATTTTAAGCTTCTTAGTACAATATTTAAAATAATAAATACAAGGAGAATGGGGGTTTGCTGTTAAATTTTATCCTTTTCTTAAACACATCATTATTTTTTCCCAAAGTTTAGCCAGTTAAAGCAGGGAGGTAGAGAAGGAGGCAGAGAGGGAAGCCTGGAGACATGAAATAGATTACACCTTGCATTAAGCCATGCATTTAGCTGTTTTCCAAGGATTTTAAGGCAGAGCTCCTCCTCGGATGTTCCCCAGCTTTAAACAAAAAGCCCTGCACACAGATTGCTTTATGCTCTTTATTGCAGCAGATAAATGGATCCTTAAACATATCAAGGGATTTTTGATGAAAAGGGGATGCCAGGAGATGGCTTTAATTGCCAGATGCCCGGGTTGGGATGGGCAGGGGCTGTGTGGGGCAGCCAACACGTGTTCCCTCAGCCAGACGTGCCTGGGAGCGCTGCTTTTTGCACCCCTGCAACCAGCCTTAAGGGTTCTGTTTTTTGGGGCTTTATTGGATGAACTGTCAATGCTTTCCAGGATAACAAATCTTGTTTTATAGCACTTGGTGGAGTTTGGTTCGGGGCTACCTCTGAGCAACATGAACTTGGCCTTGCTGTGTGTCTTACACTAATACCTTCCCTCCTGTAAGGAATCAGGGTACTTGAGAAACAGCCTGCAGCCATACAGCTGATTATTTCACCAAATTTGCATCTTTTCAACAGTAATGGGGATGGCTTTCACAAATGCTCCCAGGCTCTAAATAGATGTTAAGTGGCTGTTTCTAGTTGCTTCCTTCCCTCTCCCCCTTGGGCACTTCCAAGCCCCTGCCCATGGCACCCAGGACCTCCTGCCTGAGGGAGGGATGCTCAGCCTCCTTCTCTGGAGTGTCTTTCAGGGTCAGGAGTGCCCAGGAGTGTCCCTTGGAGGAGCTGGGATTGCTTTTTGGGTGCCCTGAGCATGATGCTGAGGAGGCATCTGTGTGAAGTAGGGCCTGGAAAGAGGTGGTGAGCAGGGAGAGCATCTGGATGGCAGCAAGGGACACCAGGGTCCCTGAGGATGGAAAATGGGAGGACCTGGAGGGATGCATTTCCTCAGGGGTCTCTCCAGCATGGACTGGAACTGAGGAGATGGACTTCAGCAGAGCTACGGCCTCCAAGGCAGAAATTTCTTGGACTCCCAGTGCTTGCATGCAGCCCTGCAGAGGTTCCCCAAAATCCATTCCTCTGTGGGTCGAAAATTCAGTGGACAAACAATCCAGGGACTAGATTCCTACACTTCCACATTCCAATGTCAAAGCCTCATTTCTCTGGAAATCTGAACTCTTTTTTTTGCCTTTCTTTAAAATGGGTGCCTACTCCTGATGTCTTACAGATCCTACACAGAGGAACAGCTTGTTTAATGCATGTTACCCAGAGAAGCTGTGGCTGCCCCGCCCCTGGAAATGTTCAAGGCCAGGTTGGATGGGGCTTGGAACAGCTTGGTCTAGTGGAAGGTGGTGCTGCCCATGGCAGGGAGTTGGAACAAGATGGTCCTTAAGGTCCCTTCCAACTTAAACCCCTCCCTGTTTCTATGCATGCAAAGGGCTGTGTTCCAGTGGGTTATCCCAGGACACTCATGCAAGTAAGATGCTCCAACTCCTGCCACACTTTAGCCACAGCTTCCCTGTCCCTTGCTGGCAACTGTGCTATTTCCCATGGATAAAGAGTGCAGGGATCAGAGTGAGATCATGATAGGAAATACTATATTCTGCTTTTGTTCCTACTCTAAATGCTGCGTTGTCCATCACAGGCTTACAGCACCTCTTCCCCTTCCCTGCATTTTTTAAGTCCAAAGCAGTGCCAACCTGATAAAAATCTAAAACCTTTCTCCCAAACTATAGTAAAACATCAATACTGGTCTGTCTTAAAATCCACAGAAGGAAACTTAAGGATTAGAGTAAAGCCTTATTCTTAATTTATCTGTCGTGCATAAGTATTTCAGCATATAACACTCCTCTGGAAGGATCACCCACAATTTGGAGTTTTTTCCCTCGTTTAGGCACCTTGGGCTGAGTTAAAAGGCAGAGAAAACTTGCAGAACTATTGTATCTAGCTGAGCACTCATTATAAAATGGATTACTGGTACAGTAAACCATAAAGACTGTTTTAGAGCCATTAAGGTTCAGCTTGTCACTGCTGACATGGACACACTCTTACACCATATATTCCTGACATGTCAGGAGGTGCTTAGGGATGCTTTCATACATGTTTTATTGAAATGACAGGCTATAGCTTCTTTGCCTGCTGTATATATGCATGGCTATATGTTAGAAATCCAAATTAAACGCCCTTGAAGAAAAAAATAACCCCCTTACACATGTGGAATGAGTCCCATCTTCAGTGATAAAGTTGTTACCTACATTTTATTTTTAATGTACTTTGTAATGGAATAATGAAATCACAGTTATCCCTGGAATAAAATGTGGCTTAAATCAATGAGGTTCACACTGAAGTGAATTCTGCAGTTGATAAAATGTGAGTTCAAAACCAAAGCAATTTCGGATAAGAATGAAAAAAGTATCAAACCCTCAGATTTCCCTTCTGAAGGCGTCTTTCCATCTGTATGCAGATCAATTGTTTCTCCCAGGCTGAGCTTTTGACTTGTTAGGCCTTTTTGTCTTTCAGATCCAAGAAAAACTTTACATACAATTACGATGCCTTGAAAATAAAATTTTTAAGTGGAAACACCAAGAGAGTCATAGCTGCAGAGAGTAGGATCTCACAAACCTTGCAGGGCTAAAACTCACCTTCGTTAAAGGTTCAGAACAGAGAAGGAATGTAGGATTTGGTCCTTCGTGTTCTTTTTTTAAGCGATTGCTCCACAAAAGCAAATTGAAACTTTTGACCTGTGTGAAAGGGGTATATTCCACATTTTGAGATTAAACAGGGGATATATTCATCTGATAGGAGATCCATGGCTGGAACGCTTCTCCAAAAGCTGCCACCACCTTTGGCTGCCTTCTCGGTTTCTGAAAGAAAACTCCAGGAAAAATGATGGTGGAAGTGAGGAACTCATGTGTGGATCTGAGACTGGATAAGGTGAATTATCCTTTGCTGGTGCTGGAAATGTGGATTTGTTTTATTTTTCACAAACTGCAGCTTGGAGACCACCATAAGTGATCCTTATGAGAGGACAAGAGGGAATGGCTTTAAACTGAAAGAGGGTAATTTTAGATTTGATTCCTAATTGGATATCAGGATATTAGTGTGAAATTTAAAATCACATACTTTTTAGATTGGCAAGGTGCAAAACTCACTGTTGGTCCCAGACACAACCCCAAAAGCACGAGCACAGCAGGACACACCCAGTGGGAGCAGAGGGTGAGGCGTGGGGTGCCAGAGTCTTTCCTGCAGTAGCATCATGCCTGTGTTTGCTGTATAAATAAAATCTTGTTGTACTTTCAATGTTAGCCTAAAATTGGATCACAGGA